TCTAGCCCCACTGTGATGAGGCACAGAGGGGTACCTTTAGGACTAAGTAGGTGCTAATGAGGTCACTAAGGATAGCACCCACAACACAATTAGTGCCCTTACAGTAAGAACAGTGTCCAGGACTCCCGCCACAGGACACAGGAGGTGGCGGTCTGCACAGCAAGAAGCAGTCCTTACCACCCTATCAGGAATACACCAACCAGCTTGGACATCTGGATTTTGCAGACAGCTCTTCCTGGCTCCCAGCCCCTCACAATGCCAGCCAGAGTGGCCAAGCCCTTCCTCCCAGGCAGACTTCCTAGACACATATTACACCCCCTTCCTGAATCCAGCTTTTGCTCTGTGGCAGTGGCTCAAGCCACTAGGCAGAAGGCCACTCAATCTGTGGTGGGTAAGTCCTGTTGTACAGCTCTGCCTAACAAAACCAAAAATGTGCTTGTGTGGCTCTGTCTCGGTACCCAGGTCTCACCTTCCCCGTCGTTGGCACGCTGCACTGCCCACTTCATGCTTTTGCCTCCTCCACTTGGAATTAAGAACACTGCCTTGTGGTTCTTGAACTGGCCTCCACCTGAGCTGGCTCTGTCACCACACTGACACCTCCCACCCTAATCGGCACTCCTTCACCACCTACAACACCTCACTGGGCAGCACTTGAAAGCCCACAGGCATCCACAGCTGTCTCCCCACCCAAGGCAGCCAAGTGCCACTTTCAGGGAGAAAGGTCGTAACCCCAAAAGGCAGGGCCAGTGTCCCTAAGAGTGAAAGCTAAGGCTTCAGGCCACCTACTTTGAGGCTGAGCCCTTGTCTTGTGTTACTATGGTCCTGCCTGCCACATCAGGCTACCGGGTGCACCCAAAGGGGTGACCAAGCACCACTGGGCAGTTCCTCTGGTGCCCACCCCTCTGCCACAGCACACAGAGGTCAGCCTAAGGGCCAAGCACCCGCCTCCACGTGAGCAGCGCCAGACTCCAGAACTCCCAACCTCATGTGCTAGCACATGCTGTGCTGACCCTGACAATGGAACAAGCCAAACTGCTCCAGGCCAGGCACAGCTGTGCATGCGAGATCTTGCTGAGGAAGTATGACATGGAAGGGTCACAAGTCTGAGTCCTGCTTAGGCAACTTGGCAACTTAAAAGAGCCTTTTGTCTCAAACACAGAAATAAAAAAAGACTGAGAAAGATGCTCAGGGTGAAAGCTCTGGGTTCTAACCCTCACTGCTACAACAAACAAACAGAAAGCAAGCCTGCCCCACCCGCCATAGCTGGATAGAACACACCTGGGGAGCAGTTAGTGCCCCCCCCTCCTTTTGAGGATGAGGGCTCCCCAGTGCCTGCACCTCTCCTCGAAGGGGCTCACAGGTTGGCTCTTAAGGTACCTGTGCTGAAGCTAGGACACAGCCCAGCTAGGAGAGGCTCACGCTCCAGGCTCCAGCCCCCAGAGCCAGCTGAGAGTTTGGGAGAGTCCTGAGCACACACAGCAAGGGGGTGGCTCAACTCCGAGGCTTGCTCCTGGAGCCCTCTGCTGTGGACCTGCACTCCCAGCTGCAATGCTAAGTCTGCCCCTCCCTGGCTGGCCTGGCCCACACAGAATATGGGTCTGCTAGTCCTCAACCCCAAGCCCAGCCCTGCTGCAGACTAAAACTCCCACCAAAGCACACACAAGAACCAGCCCTGCAGTGTTGGCAAAGGCTCCAACTAAAGGCCAAAGTCCCGCAGAAACTGAATCCCACACCAGTGGTACTAAAGGTGGGGCTGCAGGGAAGTGATGATGTCCAAGCCTGGCCCATGCATGGAGCTCCCTTCCAACGGCTGAGGACCTCCTCGCTGCCCTCCTGCTGCCCTTAAGGACACACAGCAAGCCGGTATCATCTCAGAGGCAGAAATCAGCCATCACCAGACACCATTCTTTGGCATCTTCCTCTTGAACTGCCCAGCCTGCAGACTGTGGGAAATATATGCATGCTGTGTAGAAAGTATACAGCCTAGGGCAGGGAAGATGGCTCAGTGGAATAAGCACTTGGCCTGGCAAGCACAAGGACCTGAGTTCAATCCCCGGTTCCGCAAAAAAAAAAAAAAAAAAGAAAAAAAGTATACAGCCTGTGGTGTTTTGTTATAGTAGCACAAATGCACTAGGACAGTACCTGAAGAGGGCTGACCCCGTGTCCCAAGGCTGCTAGGTGCCACCATCACGGGATGGCCCCTCATGTTTTTCCCACAGCACCCTCACTCCAGCCCTCACCCCAGCCCTGCAACAACACCCCTAGTCCAGTCCCTCTGGCTGGCTGGGCTCCTGGCTCAACCCGAGAAAAGGATTCAGGTCCTGGCAGGCTCCCCCAAAAGGGGGCTCCAGCCATATCCTCCTTTGGGCCCCACTTGGTGTCTGGCATGGAGACAGAGGACAAACTGACTCCTGGGCCTTCACCAGACCTGTCGCATTTTGAAGAAGCATGATCCTGTGTCGTCTTCAGAGAGCTGTTTGCTAAACCCTCATGGGGACCCACAGAGGTTGGCAGGTGGCTACAAGCAGGACAGGGCTTGACCCCCACTCAAATCAGTCTCCTTAAGACTACAGGAGCATGGGGCACATCCTCCCTCCGTGCTGCACACAGACACACTGATCATCAGGGGTGTCCGCCAAAAGCAGGTGACTCAAGAATCAGCCCTGAGTTCACAGTACCAGCCTCCAATACGCCAAGGTGTGAGATCTGCAGGACACTCAACCACCAGCCAGCCCTCAACCTAGGGTCACTGTGGGTTCCAGCAGAGCCCCCACAGGAGTGAGGCAGCCAAGGCAGAAACGGTCACCTCCCAGAGGTGGATCCAGGGACAACCACAATTCCAAAGCCAAGCCCAGCCTCTGTTCAGGGACCAGTCTGAGGTAGGGCAGGGAAAACAAGGAGCCAAGAGAAGCTTAATTTTAATACTGTGCTTTAAGGATGCAACTTCAAAACCCAAAGCTCCCCAGGGGCGCCCATGTGCACTCCAGCCACTGGCTGACTCCACACAGGCTCACTTTCCTCTTCTAGGCACCATACCCAAAGCCCCTTAAAGACACTGTGGATAAACGGGCATGGTTAATGAGTGCAAGGGCAAAAAGCTGTCCTTAACGTAGAAAAATAGATTCAAAAGTTTCAAGCAATGTTTCTTTGAGAAAACAGACCCAGACTTAAGCAGCAGACTGGGCCCGGTGCCTGTACTGGTAAAATAAGCCATTACCTTTCTACCTGTGCGTGGGCTACCCCTTTCCTCCTGTAAACCAAGCCCAAGCTTCTATAAATCTAAATTCCAGGTTGATGCCCCAAAGTATAAATATTCCTACCTCCTGACCACAACAGCCTAATACCCCTTGCAGGCCTCTCCCAGAGGCTTTCAAAGTTCTCCTCCTACTAGGGGGCCAGTGGTTCAGCAGCATGCCCCACAGGCACAGTGAGCCTGGGTCCCACTCCTCTCTGGGTGCACCTTAGACCCCTTTCAGCCCCGCCTCTCCATGCTCTCTTCCTTTCTCACTCTGACTGAGAGATCTGCCTTGCATTCACTGACTATCCTGAAACACTGTTTTGCAGTAAGAGCCTAAAAGCTACTGGACATAAGCTGAGGGCCCCATCTTGACCTAGAAGACATTCTCAGGCCCTTTCCAATGACCCTTCAGAAGATAAAACATACTGAATGCAAGCTGGAGTTCTATTAGACTTGGTACACAAGACTAAGACAGAAAAAACAATTCTCAGTTGACTTTTTTTTTGGAGACAGGGTCTCACTGTGTATCTAGGTTGGTTTTGAACTATGTAGCACAGGTTGACCTCCAGCTTGAAGTAACCTTCCTGCCTTGGCCTCCTGAGTGCTGGGGTTAAAGGTCTGTGCAACCACAGCCAGCTCTCTCACTTGCCCCACCAGGCTGTGTTACCCAAGCTAAGGCAAGGTTCAGCACAAGGAAGAGGACCTGCTAAGCCCCCAACCTGTTGCCTTCCTGCACCCTCTCCCCATCTCGGCAGCCAGCTGCACTGGGGAGGGAATAGGGTGCCGTCCCACACACCGATCTCCTATTACCAGAAACCTGAAGGATGCATAGACACAGCCACCCCTGCGGCCCACAGAATGGTAAGTGCAGGCAGTCCTAGTCCTGTCCTACCCCCCTTCCGTCGTGCTTAGCTACTATACTATACACCCAGGAAATACCAAAGAAGCCAGGTATACTGGCACACACCGGAGTTCTAGAATCCCAAAACTCTGGGAGGCCAAGGCAGGAAAAGCACAGATCCAGGCCAGCCTAGACAACTTAACAAGACCATATCTCAATTTTCTGAAAAGGCTAAGGATGTAGTTCAGTACTACAGTACTGTAAATCATTTATAAATCATACAGACATGTCAATGATGGGCTATAAAACAAAAAGCACCGTAAATGATATTCTCCTTAAAGACAGGAACTGTTTGTTGGCCTCATATCTGAGAAACTCCCTTTGCACCTGAACATCATGACCTTGCAGCTGTTCACTCAATGTGTGCAAAGCTAGACACACATAAACACGAAGAACACACATTTGCACACCACTCTCAACTCCCTAAACCTTTCTCTAAAGATAGCTTCCTCACAGACAGTGCATGAAACGACTGCTGTGTCCCCGAGACAGCACTCACCTGCACAGCGCTGCAGGCACGTGACAAGAAATGGTACTGAGACACCTGGTTCCACCCAGCCCACCCAGCCCACAGGGGCCCACACCAGCACGGAGCCTGTCTTCCCCTCCATGCTGGCAGACCCTGCGAAGGACATGCCCATGACAGTTTCTATACCACAATACCACCTCCTTGCCACTGCAGTCCTGCCATACTCATCATACAAGTCCTGCCAGTGTAAGGAAGCAACAGGCAATTCAATGCTAAAATCTTTTCAAACAAGTATTCTGATCAGAAGCAGAGCTTTACACCACAGCAGCTTCCAGGCCATCATTTTGTTGCAGATACAGGACACACAGACAGCTCCCATGGGTCGTGGTTACCTTTAACTAGCAACTTGTCTCTCACAGACACCCTTCGCGTGGAGTCAGTCGAGGCGGCTGGCGTCCGGGACCCTTTGAGACCATCATCCCGCTTCAGTTTGCTTGCCAGTGTTAGCATTACTGCTGACTTAGCTGAAAGACAGGGGAGAGCAGGGTTAGGGGTTCCCCTCTGCAAGGGGAACAACATACTACAGGTTACATTTTATGACATTATTTTATAAGGAATCATCCAAGAATCATATCCAAGTGCAGGAAATCTGTCCACACACTAAACACTAAAGAATCCAGCTGAGGGCCTGAATCTTGGTATCTTGCCTGAGTCCACTGCTTCAATTCCTCAACTACAAAACGTGTTCCCTGGTCAGAGGCAATGCTGTGTGCAACTACATGATGGTGCATAAGGCACTCTGTGAGTCCACGGATGCTAGTTTTGGAGGAAGCATTACGTGCAGCAAAGGGAAATCCACATCCAGAATATGTGTCTATGCCAATGAGGACAAAGTGCAGTCCCTTCCATGGTGAAAGTGGTCCCACCAGGTCGCAGGCTGATCACCGGTGGAATGGTGTCACATCGGGGACTCAGTGTTGGTCTCCATTGCCGGCATACTGGGCATTCAGCAGTGGCTGTGGCCAGATCAGCCTTGCTGAGTGGGAGTCCATCCCTGCCACCATGGCCACTCTGTTCATGGGCCCACTGGGCAATGACGGATGGCTGAAGGAGGAGGCTGGCCACTATCCACAGAACAGGTCATCTTAGTCACTTAATTATTAATGTCCTCTTCTGCTCATGTCACCTTTGGATGAGCACTTACATGGGAAACAAATATTTTTACGTCCTTTACCCACATAAGAGATGTCTATCCACATCTCTCCCCCCCAAATATCTTTGTCACCAATTTTCCAATCATGCTCCTTCCAAGTTCCTGACCATCTGGCAGACCACTGGCTAGGCCCACATGTATAGTCACGTACTGACCATTTCTTCTTCTGGGCAAAGTGTACTACCAGGAGCACTGCCTGAAGTTCTGCTCACTGTGATGATTTCCCTTCGCTACTGTCCTTTAGTGACATCCCAGAAAGGGGCTCTAACACTGCAGCTGTACACTTGTGGGTGGTACTTGTAGCATGTGCAGAGCCATCTGTGAACCAAGCCCTAGTCTTCCTCAATTATATGGTACACCCCACAATGCCATAGGTGCATGCTGGGAAATAGAAGGCAATATAGCAGGTGCAGGGGCCATAGGTATCTGGGCAACTTCCTCATGTAATGTACTTGTACTCCCTGGACCTGCCCTGGCTCTATCATGAATACACCACTTCCATTTAATGGCACTGTTGCTGAGCACATCCAACCTTATGACTTGGTGGGTCACATAATACCTAGGCCATGGTAGGCAACTCAGGTCTCATGGTGACCTGGTCCCATAGTCAAGCATTCAGCTTCCACCAATACCCAGTAGCAGGTCAAGTGCTGTTTCTCAAAAGGACAGTAGCTGTCTGCAGATGATGGCAGAGCCTTGCTCCAAAATCCTAAAGGCCTCCACGGCAATTCGCCTATGGGGGCCTGCCAGAGACTCCAAATAGCATTCCTATGTACCACTGACACTTCAAGTACCACTGGCTCTGCTGGCTCATATGGTCCCAGAGGCAGAGCAGCCTGAATAGCAGCCTGGACCTGTTGCAGAGCTTTTTCCTGTTCTGGGCCCCACTCAAAATTAGTAGCTTTTTGAGTCCCTTGGTAAATGGGCCAGAGTAAGATACATAAATGAAGAATATATTGTCTCCAAAATCCAAATAGGCCCACTAGGCGCTGTGCCTCCTTGTTGGTAGTAGGGGAAGCCAGATGCAACAACTTCTCTTTTACCTTAGAAGGAATATCTCTACATGCTCCACACCACTGGACCCCTAGAAACTTCACTGAGGTTGATGGGCCTTGAATTTTTGTAAGATTTATTTCCCATCCTCTGGGCCTCAAATGCTATACTAACAAATCCAAGGTAGTTGCCACCTCCTGCTCACTAGGTCCAATCAGCCTAACATCAGCAATGTAATGGACCAATGTGGTATCTTGAGGAAGAGAAAGACGCCCAAGATTCCTATGAACTAAGTTGTGACACAGGGCAGAAGAGCTAATATACCCTTGTGGTAAGACAGTGAAGGTATATTGCTGATCTTGCCAGCTGAAAGCAAATCGTTTCTGATGGTCCTTATGGATAGGTATGGAGAAGGCATATGCCAAATCAACAGCTGCATACCAACTACCAGGGGATGTGTGAATCTGCTCAAGCAAGGAAGCCATATTTGATACCACAGCTGCAATTGGAATCATCACTTGGTTCAGTTTACAGTAATCTACTGTTATTCTCCAAGACCCATCTGTCTTCTGCACAGTCCAAATGGGAGCATCGAATGGAGATGTGGTGGGGACCACCACCCATGAATCCTTCAAGTCCTTGGTGGTGGCACTAATGTCTGCAATCCCTCCAGGAATGCAGTACTGCTTTTGGTTCACTATTTTACCAGGAAAGGGCAATTCTAAGGGCTTCCATTTGGCCTTTCCAACCATAATAGCCCTCACATGGCAGGTTAGGGCACCAATGTGAGGATTCTGCCAAGTACTAAGTATATTAATTCCAATTATACATTCCATAACAGGGAAAATGACTACAGGATGGGTTTGAGGGCCTATTGGACCCACTGTGAGTTGGACCTTTACTAAAACTCCATTGATCACCTGACCTCTATAAGCCCCTACTCTTACTGGAGGGCCATGATAACGTTTTGGATCCTCTGGAATCAGTGTCAGTTCAGAACCAGGGTCCAGTAGTCCCCAAAATGTCTCATCATTCCCTTTTCCTCAGTGTACAGTCACTTGGGCAAAAGGCCTTAGGTCCCTCTAAGGAAGAAAGGGAGAAAGACTATAAATTTTGGGGACATTAGGATCCTTCCCCAAGGGGACCTGGCCTCCCCATCATTCAAGGGGTTCTGATCTGTAAACTGGCTCAAAGCTGGGAATTGGTTGAGGGGTCGTGATTGCCTATTAACACAATTTGAAGTAGGTCTCTGCTCTTTTGACCTTAATTTTTTTTTTTTTTTTAATGTATTTAGTATAGGATCTACATGGGTTACAGGGTCTTACTATACAGATCAGACTTGTAGTGATCCTTCCTGTTTTTCAGCCTCCCAAGCACTGGGATTACAGGTGCGTGCCACCATGCCCAGTCTGAGAACACAGAGCAGGCCAGGGATCGAACCCCTGGCCCTTTCATCTGCTTAAGCAGGTACTGTAATCCACTGAGCTACCCGGCTGCCCTTTGCCCTGAAATTTTTTTGATTATATAAATCTAGTAAAAATTTTATAGTTTTTCTATTTCACTTTTAGGAACACTATGGCTAATCAGCCAACACCATAGGTCTCATGTGTGAGATTATACTGGTCATTGTTCTGCTTCTGGGGGGCCTGCCCCTTAGCTCAGTTCTTCAAGTGGTGGCTTCAACAAAGCAGTCAGGCTCAGGTTGCTGTGGTTCCATCCCAACTCAAGCCAGCCAAACCTGCCCTGAAGGCATTTGGAGAAAAAAAAAAAAAAAGCCCTTCTGTTCCGCTTCTGCTGTCCATGGTGATTAAGTGCTGCCACTCTGGGATCCAATCAAGGCCACTGCCCTTAAATTTCCTGAGTAACCATGGCAGTCCCCACAAGATTTGGCATGCAGAGGAGAGCAATAATGGGGCTCTTCAGGGATGCTAGTGTTTCCCTCATAAATCTGTTTCTCTAGGTGTTAGTGAAGGGTATGATTTTGGGATCATCCCAATGAGGAAGATTAGGTCTAACACGACAGATCCACTCCAGCATTCCCATTTCTCTAAGCCTCTGAATCCCTTCATCAGTAGTAAACCACGGAATACCCGACATCTCTAACTCATTCACCGAAAGCTGTATTTTGAGCCATACTTCTGTCAACCAGCCAAGCAGACTATTAACATCTTTATTACACAAGCTTAAATTCAGATACCCTACTTAATGGGCCTGTATCAACAAATTCGGCCAGGAGTATGTTTTTGCCACCACTATCCCACACTCATAAAATCCATTCCCATGCTTGCTCATTAGGCCTCTGCTTGTAAGAGTTAGAAAACTCAAGAAGTTCTTTGGGAGAATAAAGGACCTCTTCATGGATCTCACTGTGTACGTCACCCCTAAGTGCCCTAGGTAATTTAAACCAGGTTATGGGCCCAGAGGCAAAAATGAGTGGTGAGAATGGGTCCTGAGGAGTCTCAGCATTTGCCTGTTTGGTCAACACAGGATTAGTTTCTCCAGATACGTTAGGAGACACTAACACCGCAGGAGATGGTGGCAGTGAGTGGGGGAATCTTTCCTCTGGAAAAATAATTTCATTGGTATCTTGGAGCTCAACATCCTCAGTCTTCTCAGTATCCTCCCACACATCTCCATCCCACTTTATGGGACCCCATTCTTTCTTATAACATGTATAAGGAATTCCAAGATTGGCTTACAACGGTCAGCCACAGAGTCAGATGAGGCAGCAAGCAGAGGGCGACTGCACACCAGAGACTGAAGGATTCAGTACAAGGTCTGGAGCTCACTGCAGTGCTTTGGGCAAGTCTGTATCAGGGGGCTGACGAGTCTACACCGGAAAGCTGCAGGACCCAAGGCAGAAGCTGAAGAGTCTGCACTAGAAGCCGGGGATGATGACGTCCAAGCAGACTGCGTTCCAAGCACACTGCGAAGACTGGAGCTCCTTCAAAGAAAACAGAACCTTCTGTCCCTCCTCAGTTCCCTTTTATATCCTCTGAGTGGTGAGCCACACCCTTAGGTGGCTCCTCTACCCTAGGGTGTGGAATTGCTGAGCTGATTTAGTTAACCTTCTAAACTTCTCAAGTGGACACAGTCAACCAACACTACACCCTTCAAAACTTAGTTACCAAAAAAGTTCACCAACACTGGTAAGACTGGTTTCCTTTATAAGGAACATGGCTAAGTTCTGCGCCATTCTCCAAAAGTCCGATATTCCCTTGGTACCAGGCTCTGTGTCAAGCACACAACTCAGGAAAGGCTTAGATCTGGCTATCCCTCCAGAAGCTTTGTACACTCAAAGGGAGGCTCTGGAAAGGGCCTGGTTAGGGCCCCTTAGCAGACCCACCGCTAGGAGGTGGGCTGGGCTGGAAGAGGCGGCCACTGGCCTGTAAAGGCTTCGCATCCTCCCTAGCTCCTCCCTTTCCCCCTCTGCTCCAGGAACGGGCCTGGAGCACCTCCATCTCTCTGCCCCACTGCACCATCCTACCCTACAGACAGAATAAATCTCTCCTTCCTGAAGCTGTGGGTGTCAGGCATTGTCTCAGCAGTAAGGACAGCAACCAAGACAGGAGCCTCTCTAGGTTCTCAACCAGCAGGGCCCACTGTCCACTGGTAAGTCGGCATGTTCTGCAACTGGGGCCCCCAGGAACAGCAGCACAGGCTTCAGGACAAGAAGACAGCAGAGCCTTCTTACCTTTTGGCTTCTTTTAACACAGGTGTGGGCAGAATATTGCATTAGCCTGTCCTAGTTTATTTACATTTTTGGCAGCAGTTTCAAGACTAAATTGTAGGGGCCGGGGAGATACCTCAATAAAAACACACTTGCCTGGCAGGTGCAAGGGCCGGAGTTCAATCCCCAGTTCCGCCAAAAAAGACTAAATTGTAATTAATGCCTCATTCCCTGGCAAGCTCAAGGGCCTGAGTTCAATCCCCGGTTCTGCCAAAAAAAACCAAAAAATAAAAATAAAAAATAAAAAAAAAGAAAAAGTGTGTGTCCGTGTGTGTGTGTGTGTGTGTGCGCGTGTACGCAGTTTTAGCTTCTGATTAGTACAAGCCACAGGCAGAGACTCCTGGATACTCATGCTCCTGTCCCTGGGATCAATACGCTACACCTGAGCAGCTCCTTCGCCGCAGGGAAGCTGACACAACGCTGTCACCAGGGGCTCCACTCAAAGGAGGGTGCCACAGCTTGGTGGTGCCTGTTACTTTCCTCCCGTTGCTGGGACAAAATACCCCATGCCCTGAATCAAGGAAATTAAGGAAGGAAAGGTTTATTTAGCTCAGTTTGGGGAGGTTTCAGTCCATAATCAATCAGCTGGCTCCAAGGCAGAGTGGCACACGGCAAAGGGCAACAGTCCATGGCAGCAGAAAACAGCACAACAACAAGAATGAAAGGGCCAGCCAAACAGCTCAGTAGATTAAAACACCTGCAAGCAGGTGCAGGGGCTGGGGGTTCAGGCCTGCAACAGACTGGGCGTGGTGGCACACGCCTGTAATCCCAGCTCTTGAGAGCTGCAAACAGGCGGATCACTAAGAATCCAATCTAGTGAAACCCTGAACACCCTGTAGACCCTTCTAAGAAAAAAAAAAGAATGAAAAGGAAAAAACAGAGGCAGCAACAGCAGCAGAGGCAGAGAGCAAGCCTCTCTACCTTCCTTATACTATATCCAGGCTATCTGTTCCAGGGTAGGTGTAGCACTCACACCCATAATCTCAGCAGCACTTGCACCCATAATCCCAGCACTGGATCATGAATTAATCACAAATTCTAGAAACCCAACATATGACTACATGAGGCTTTGTGGGGCCACCTAGATACAAAACATATAGATCTACAAAGACCCTCAAGAAACTACCTTCAATCTCTAACATTCACTCCCACTAATATCAGCTTCCTACTTTACGCTGGAAATTTTTTTGAGGACAAAAAAATTCCATAATTTGCTTCCTTATTTGAATGCCATTTCCTTTTTAACAGCCTTCTAGTATTTTCAGTAGAAAATGATCTAAATTTCCAAACTGAAACTAGACCTGTGGTTTGAGGCAAAGATCCCAAAGCCAAAATGAGAGAATACACTTCTCTCTCATTAGTACCTTAGACCACCTTTAACTCGTATCTCTTGCAGGCTTCTCGCACCAACCTTTGTGTAACCCTTAAAAACTGTCAGGTTTCATTTTATTTCATTTCTATTACAAAAACAATAAACCGAATGTGATCTTGTGAACTGCTCACTGCCGTATCAAGGACTTGGAAGCACATACCCTGTTGTCCTTAACAAGCTCCAAAGGACAGTTCACTGCTTGCTAGCATTAGGAAGCCCTTAGAATGGCAAATCTGGGAAAGACTTCTTCCCTCTCCCATTCCATTTTACTATGTGGCCCGGGACAATGCGCCAGAGGGTGGGCTGTCCAAGGACACCAAGGCTCCTCCCAGCCATCACTATAGAACTGGCTTCCCCTGGGGGATGGATCCTAATGTGGTCAAGGTCAGGGTAGAAATCAAGGTTGAGACTGATCAGGCACATGTTTTAAAATGGACAGTTGTGTGTGCTCCAATTATACCTCAATACAGTTCACAAAACTGCAAAGACAAAAACTCTGGTGCTAGCTCTTGCAGTCCCACTCCACCACTCCACTCCACTCTTAGGGGGACCCAATGGAGCTCAACCCTCAAAGGTGAGCACATAATTTCCAGCTTCACCCAGGGCCTGGTAACTTCCTTCTGCTGCTATCGGCGCTTTACAAGGGAAATCTGGACACCTGCAGGGGCTTCAGGCAGCATCCCATCCAGGGCCATGCTCCCACCTGGACAGACCTTGTGAGGAAACCCTCAAGCAGCTGTGCATCACACAGGTCAGCGCTTGCTAGCCTGGTCACCTTCACTCTATGTGCCTGGATTTGAGCATATCAGTCCTGCCCCGGAGAGGGCCACCTGATATTACACTACTAGAGCCCCCAATGCTCTGGACAAAGATTACCAAATACACAGCCTCGGACTGCCTTCAGTGGTGCAAACAGGGCAAAAGGCAGAAATAAAAGCACAGAACATGGAAGAACTACCAACAGACTGTGGAAAAGCCAGTCCCAGGGCACACACGTGCTCCAGCTCCTGAAGACATGCACCTCAGGACCACTCAGAGTAGCTGAGGGTCACTCACTCAGAGAAAGGGCCATCCCAAGACACTCCCACTGTGCTGCACGCCTCAGCTATGTCCATAGCTCTTACCTCACCCACAGTGACATCCTCTCTGGGGTCAGAGATCAGGCACCCTATAATCAACACCCCCCCAGAGGTCAGATTCCTGGCTTTATCTTCAACAAGTCCGTGGCCCTTAATAAAACACACAGGGGCCCACAGACTGTACAAGGTATGAAAGCCACATTGGTGTTTGCAAAACTTACCTTCCTAACGATCTTTTTTTCTTTTTTTTTTTGCAGAACCTGGGATTGAACTCAGGCTCTTATGCTTGCCAGGCAAGCACTTATTCTACTGAGTCATCTCCCCAGACCCCCACTTTCCTAACATTCTAAGAAGTATGTGAATATGGGTGACCATGTACATCTCTAGCTGCATCATTATCACTCACCACCTCAGGGATGAGCCACTGCCTAATTTGGAAATGTTTCCATAGTGACAGAATTAAATCTATACAAAGGATTTCAAACAAAAATATCATTCAACTTGTGGAGAGGTTATCTGGCCACCTGCAGGTGCTTCAGAATTCTTTGCCTCTTCAATATGTCTCACTTTTTGAAGATCTGGCTTAAAACTGAGCTTTCCCTTTCCCACAAGTGACATCTGAGGGAGGCAGCATTTCAGAGACAAATGAGCCCTTGTAAACAGCAGGCTTGGTCTCTAAATTCCACACGTTGCAACTGACCCAGTTAAGTTCCTCCTCTGGGTGGACCTGGTTTTTTAGACTGTCCCAAGAAGAGAACTCACCGCATTATTCACCAGTCTCGTCATCAAGTTCTGTTTACTTTGTACTATGGCCTGCAGTGGTGAAATAGGGCCGTGTCACTTGTGTAGGGACACCAGGGGCACAAGGTAAGAGTCACTGCTCTCCTCCCCATAGGCCTGCCGTGGTGAAGTCCCCATCCAAGCACAAAAGACGGAACCGCGGGGGGGCGGGGGGGGCATCAACTTCCCCAACCCAGGGCCCGGACCAGCCCACACCCCAAGATCCTACAGAATAATGATGTCCAGGAACCTCCAGCCTGCCAGTCTGATTCACCGCCCGGTTGAACTCCTTTTATTTGCAGCAGTCAGTATCCTGGGCTACCTGAGGGACAGGTACGGGAGTGCACCTCAGCCCCACGTCCTACAGCAGTGTCCACCGCCTCTGAATCTCTCTCGGCCTCTATACTTCTCTCCCCATCGAGGAAGTCGGTCATTTCTGGAAGCTTCTACTCAGTGTGACAACCAGGGCCGGGGTGCCCTCCCTCAGTTCCCCACCTAACCCTACTCCGTTCTGATCGGCAGGTCCCACCTGGAGCTCGCCCAACCCTGCTCCGGGCTGGAGGGACGCGGCGCCGGGCGAGCCCGACCCTGCCAGCATAGCGGAGAGGATGAGCCGGGGAGGCCGCACCCCGGGCCGCGCGGGCGGGCGAGTCTGAAGCGGGCGCCGCGCTCTCCTCCGCCCGGCGGGGCCGCATCCCGGCGCCGGCGGTGACCTT